TGTCCCTCCCTCCCTCCCTCTTTGCCTCCCTCTCTCCCACGTCGCCCACTGATTGTTTTCCGGAATCTTCTTGGGGGTGGGGAAGCGGAGGAGCGAGGTGGATCCGCATCGCTGTTTTCCTCTGATCGTTGGCCGCCCTGGGCCTGGCCACATCCTGGAGCTGGCCCCGGAAGCCAGGCCGCGCTGGGCCCAGGGCAGAAACGGTCCACACGGGATCGATAAAGCAGATCGGAGGTGGACGCGCAGCGAGTCGGGCCGCATCGGCACGTGCGACCGCACCAGGATGCACGACATCGCTGCCCGACCATCGGGCCGCACCGAATCGTCGACATATCCGGATCGAGTCGGATCGGGCAGGCCAACATCGACATCGGGCCGGGGCGAGCCGGATCGAAGTGGGCTGTGCAAAAAGGGCGCCTCGGGCACGTTCTCGCCCATGAGCGGCAGCGCCTGCCGCAGCTCGGCCGCATCGATGGTGCCCCCCTGCCGCGCGCGTGGGCGGAAATCACCGCGGGGATGAGGCAGCGCCGCGCGGCCGTGTCACCGTCCATCGGGGGACGACGACTGACCAACTGGCTGGGGGGAACACTACTCTCCGTTCGGTGAGAAGCGTGGGGGGTCTCCGAAGGAAAAGGAGGTGGAGGAGGTGGAGAAGGAGGAGGAGGAGGTGGAAGCAGGATGAATAGGAGGCGGAGGAGAAGGTGGAGGTGGAGGAGGAGGAGAAGGAGGAGGAGGAGGAGAAGGAGGAGGAGGAGGAGGAGGAGGAGGAGGTGGGGGAGGCGGTGGAGAAAGAGGAAGAGGTAGGTAGGTAGGTAGGTAGGTAGGTAGGTAGGTAGGTAGGTAGGTAGGTAGGTAGGTAGGTAGGTAGGTAGGTAGGACAGCCTGGGAGAGGGAGAGCCCCGCGGGACTACGCGGCCGCCGCGCGGCCGCGACTGCGGGGACCTGGCCACCACCTGAAGTGCCAGGCCCCCGACCGTGTGCTCGGACACAAACGTGCCGAAGACGAACACCATGTGCAAGGAGGGGGGAGGGACGGCGGGCCGGCCGCAAGACGGCCAGGCCCCCACCGCTTCCCATTGCGACCCTTCCCTGCGCGCCCTAAAGCCGCAGCGATCGCATTCTCTTTCGCCACGGCGAACCGGGCGTCGAGGACGACCGCTTCCGCACGGCGCAATTCGTCGTCGGGCATGAGCTCGACGACGTCCCGCGCGGCCCCGATTCGCTCTGCGACCATGGAGACACGGCGCTCCCAGGAGGGCCCCCGCGGGGGCACCTGCTCAGCAGCATCGGCACCCGTCCGCAGCGCAGCCAGCAGCAGCATCGCGCAGCAGCATGCGCAGTAGCATCGGCACCTGCGCAGCACCCGCAGCACCGCCAGCCGCCGCAGCGGCAACAAGCTCCGCGGGAGGCGCCTCAGCCAGGACGGAGTCCTCCACGTCCATCGCCGCGGCGGGGGCCAGCCCATGCCGCCTTCCGCGCCGCGCGGCACTGGCGGCGCCGTCGCCGCTTCGCAGCCTGCGCCGCGGGGGCGGCGGCCGCAGCAACAGCAGCACCAGCTCCAGGAGGACCAGGAGGCACAACGGGAGGAACGCCGCCAGCAGCCGCGACGGTCGGCGGCGGCACGGACACCTCGGCGCGCTGCTCGAACTGCGCGGCCGAGACGGCCGACCGTGCCACCGCGGCAACGGTACGGCGCGGCGCCCCTTCCCTGGACGGCGCCGCGCATCGCCGCCTCCACGAGCGCGGCGGCGGCAGAGGGCGGCGCGCGAGCCCAGTCAGGCGCAGCCATCCCGCGGCGGGACGGCGGCACCGTGCGAACGCTTGAGCCAAAATGGAAAAGGATGGAGACGGAGGAGGTGGAGGAGGAGGATGAGAAGGAGGAGGAGGAGGAGGAGGAGGAGGAGGAGGAGGACAGGTCAGGTCAGGTCAGGACAGGACAGGACAGGACAGGACATCCGCATGAGGGGGTCAAAATCGAGACGCCCGCAGTGGAGCTGCGAGGTGCGATTTGCAAAATCCCCTGCGAGAGTGAAGTTTGCCGCAGACCCGGACTTCTCATGGGGCCGGCACAGGGCGTAGCCACGATGTTTTAAAACGGCGAGGGGCGAGCTCCGAGGAGGCCCCGTAAGACAAGCTCGCTACCTTGCGAGTGCGAGTCCCTACGGGTCAGTGCGGGGGGAGCGGTTGATGGCCCTCTCGCGTGCCCATTCCATGGGGAACGCGCTGGGCGAGCAGGGCTCCCAAGCAGGGGGAGGAAGACGACACGACCTCACGACGCAGGGAAGAGAGGAGGAGCGAGGGAATGCAGGAGGCCCCTTTCGGGCCAAACTGATGCTGGGGGGCCGAAATCATATTATACTCAAATCCTGCTGGGCCCACGTTTCGATCAGAGTCCATCCCTCTCTAGACTCACTTCGTTTCCCGGACGTGTTGGTCGATGGAGGACGAGGAGGAGGAGGAGGAGGAGGAGGAGGAAGAGGAGGAACCCCCCCTGTGGGGGTCCACGTCGACCTGTCCGCGCCCGAGGGCCGGGACTTTGGTATTTGCGGCGGGTGGCGTGGGACGACCGGGGCCGACGTCGCGCGGCAACGTTTGCCAGCGACGGGGGTCGACTTGGGGACCGTCGGCGGGGGTGGCGCCGCCCCCACGCTTCTCATCTAAAGCGGTTGTTGGAAGTCCTCTTCGGTTCTCGGCGATCCGTCAGCGATGCATCGCCGATTCAGGCTCGATGCTCACCCATCTGAGTTGGTCCCGCCCTATCGCTCCCTGTCGCAAGGGGGACCTGTAGAGGGTCGAATTCTTGGGACGCCTATCGCCAAACGCGGAGCAGGGGTGGACTTGCTCAGGGCGGCGGGGGAGCATTGCCCTGCAGTCGGTGATACACTGCTGATGGATCGGGCAGAGGTCGGCGAGGTGGTCAGTCGACGTCCCCCGACGATCATCTCGGCAGCGACGCGAGTGCGGGTCGGCCTCCCGGGGGGCCGCTGGCGGGGAAATCAAAAAAAGGTACCGATACCGCCACTCCCCGAACCTCTCCCGGGGTGCGCCCTGACCAGGATGTCGAGGCGGCTCAAACGTTGGCGACGAGGGAGGGCCTCACAGGAGGCCGAAAATGAGGGAAGACGGCCGAAGGGTAGCAGTATGGGCGCCCTTTTTCAGGGCGACGAGATCTACACAGATCCACAGCTCCTGGCCAGGCCCGCCCTGAACCCTGGAGCTGTGTATACGCCCTCCCCCTGGCCAAGCCAGGAGGGCGCATACACAGCCCCTGGGCCCGGGATGGGCGTGGCCGGGAGCAGTGGAACGGTATAGAACTCGTCGCTCTACGTTTAGGTCGGGCATGTCCCCCTAACAGGCGGAGTTTCGGCGAAACTTTTAAAAGCAAGAAGTTGCCCCCAAATCTTCGAATAAATGCTCAAACAATCGTCCCTGGAGCAAGCTGTACTATTTTTGGATATTCCTCCTGTAGAGGGACACGCCCGACTCGACCCAGGGCTCCCAGCTTTGCTCTTCGCGCTGCGCGAAAGCGCGAAGAGCTTCGCGCCCTCGCGCCGCCTCCCCGGGGAGAAGAGGAGGACGCGGAGGCATCGGAGCCGAACCGCGCAGCGCGGAGCGCGAGCAGCCTCGCGCCCTCGAGGGCGCCACTGGCTTAACCCCGGGGATGGACAGACCCCCCTTTAGTAAAACGTGGTTTAGTGAAAACGACCTGAGGCCCAAACCTGGCGGGCACAAGCCTGGAAAATAACGGCCACGGCGCACGTTCGAGAACCGAAAACGGACAATTCACTAATCGACGTGTCACTGTTGGGGGTTCTGTCCACCCCCGATAACCCCATCTTTCTCTCCCCCGAGCCGGGGGCCCCCTCGGGGCCCCCCCTGCGGGGCTCCCTCGGGCCAGCTTGGGGCTCTCGGGGAGCCGCCCTCCGGCGGCGACGGCGAGGGCGAACAGCCCAGGGGGGAGCAGTCCACGCGTCCAGGGGCGCCGGTGATCCGTGTCTTCGACGAGGTTCCCGGGCGAATGCGCGCACAGTGCGGGCGCGGCCGCAGGGAACCCTCGCAAGAGAGCCAGCCCTGAGAACCCGTGCGCGAGGTGCACCCGAGGGGAAGCCCGGAGCACCCTGGAGCGCAGCAGCTCCTCCCACGGCCGCTTGGAGCCACCGCGCAGCGCGAGGAGCGAGGAAACCCTGGGCACCCTGACGAAAAGCAGGTGGTTTCCTGCTGCGCGCCCCCACTGTGATGCCCGCCCCTGGGCCGCTCGCCCTCCTCGTCGCCGCCGAGAGTCACTCGGAGCGCGCCCAGCTGGCCCACCCCGGAGCTCTCGACGGCCGCCCCCGGCGTCCCACGCTCTCCGCCCCGGGCGCCCCTGCGCTGCCAGGGGGGCCCTCCTGGAGGGGAACGAGGAGAGGCGGCACCAACCCCAGCAGTCGGGGGTGGACAGAACCCCCAACAGTGACACGTCAATTAGTGAATTGTCCGTTTTCGGTTTTCGAGAGGGCGCCGTGGCCGTTATTTTCCAGGCTTGTGCCCGCCAGGTTTGGGCCTCAGGTCGTTTTCACTAAACCACGTTTTGCTAAAGGGGGGTCTGTCCATCCCCGAAGCAGGTGCGAGGAGGTGCGCGGAGGCAAGGGGGAGTCTCCCTGGTGGTGTGGCCCCCCCCTCTCGCTCGGGACGTCCCCGGCATCCGGCTCGGGGAGGCCTCGTGGGCCTCCTGGCTGGAGGTGGGCCCCCTGGTGGTGTTGGCATCGCTTCTCCTCCCTCCGACCTGGAGCCCGACTCCGGAGGGCCGACTCTGGAGCCCCTCGAGACGAAGCCAAGACGACGAGGAGAAAAGTCGTTCGGGAACGCTCTGGAACGGATTCGTCCTCGTCCTAGCCGCGCCCAGTCTTCGGTAATCTTGGCAGCCTGGACTTCTCCGCCCCCACCCTGTGGCTGGGTCGGAGGCCAGCTGGAATGCCTCTGCTCCGTCCCTCGGGTCCCTTCCGAGCACCTCGAAGGCCGAC